GGGAGAGGTTTCCAAGCTGAGCCATGCTGGCTCAGGAATTCTGGGAGTTGAAGTCCACAAGTAATAAAAGAGCCAAGGTTGCCTACCCCTGGTCTAGACCAAGAGCTTGGAATGCTCTGATTTTCAATTCATGTGCATTCATATAACAAATGTTGTACTAAATTACTGTATAGTTTCCAACAGATAGAACTTGGCTCTTTCCAAACTTATCTATACTTAATGAATGTGGCTATACAGATAGACAAGAAATGCCCACATGCCCACATACAATACAATTCACACGTTTCATCATAGACAATATTTTAAAAGTGCAATGTAAGAAAGCAGAACTGACAGATGTGTTTATCTTTGCCTAGCTATCTATCTTTGTTACCCGTTCTTGCTATATCTGGGCTTCCAGAGGTTTCGAATTGGTTTTGATTTGGACATAAGACTGCTATTCTTATGGGAAAAATTAAAAATTAGAACTAATTCACAGAGCGTTTTCAAGAGCTTCTATAACAACAGCTACTTTGAAATAATGCTTTCTGAGGTCTGCTTACCACCATGAGACAATATAATTTTAAAAAGTCATGCATAAACTATTGTTTAAGAATAAGCTACAATGTGCAATAATTGGCTCTGGTCATCCCAGTCATTCTTCAGAGGAAAATTTGCATTCTTTGACTGCTGCTTTGCTCCTTATGACAGTATTTGTGTGGATTATCCCATCAGATACGCAGGACAAAATGCCATGTGGACTAGAGCTGTATAAATAGAGGGTTTCCTCTGACTTTTTATCTTAGCACCAAGTTGTCATTCAGTTGTTATTATGAAACAACTCATGAATTTAACACAAATGAAGGCGGATATACGTGTCCCATGATAATGTTGCAGGATCCAATCTGGGTCGGTCACCGGGACCAGAGGTTTGGTCCTCTGAGCTTTCGGATTCATGCAGGAGAACATCCTCAGGGAACTTTTCTTTAGCCAGAATATGTATTTTGGGCAGTTCTGTGTGGTATTTATATGGTGCCTGTTGTATGTGGCTTTTTAGACGTTGATTGGGGTGTGTTGATGGTTGGCTTTTAAGTCGTTAGCTGTTGTTTACTTGTTCTGCCCAGACCTCATCTTCTAAGTACTTGATAGGCTGGTGGTAAATCGGCACTCTTGTTGACTGACGAGGGGCTTGTTTCCCAGGCTTCAATCACTTCCCTGGCTGTTTTTGGGCCTGCTCATCCAACAATCTTAGTAGATGCAAAATTGAATATGTGTGAACTTATGAATCATGAATTTATCTCCATTCTCAAGCTGTTCATGTGATAAAAGTAAGTGTTCAGGAGCCCCGTTCTTTATCTGACCAATACAGTACGAATGAAATGTTCGGTAGGAAAGAAGAACTGATTTTCAAGACAGCTGGCAGTGACTGGGAGAAGAATGTTGCTGTTTTAGTATGAACAAAATCAAGCTCTAAATAAAACATAGTGATTTTCTTTTCTGCTTCTAATAAGCAAGAGAAGCTGACATAGTGAGGACTTCCCTTTGAGGAGGGCCACCTATCAATCATAAAAGAGGATATACAGTAGTTTTCATAAGAGATAATTAATATAGCTTAAGCAGAAATACTGTATATCTGACAGACAATCTTGGCATCTCTAATCCCAAGAAGGTTTTGTGAAAAAGAAAAAGATATTGAGCATGCTGCATATAGGCAAAATATTTTCTTTATTTTAAATGCATTATTTTTAGCTTTATCTTTCCTTTTCAAAATTCATCAGCCCATTCCTTTAAAAAATCACACTTGAAAGAGGCTTCGTTTGATGTTCTTAGCCTGTAATGGATATTCTTTTGCACCGCTGTATTCATATTACTTTAATTAAAGCCCACCGATATTGGCCCATTGTCATTTTCAATGAGATTTGACTTAAGGTAGATTCTGAAACACATACGGCATGCCACAATTATTCTTTTAAGATTATAAGAGCGAACATTTTTAAAATTATAACATTTTATATTCTTTTACTTCCCCTTTTTCTCCTCTCCCCAATGTTTTGATTTCTAGTCACTTGGCCAAAACTTACTCAAATATAGCTTGTCCTGGTTCTTGATTATTCTTGACGTATTGCTTCCTTTTTAACAGTTACCTACACTGCACATTCCTATCATGTGTAATGAAATACAAAGAATGGCCTCAAATTGTAGGCTCCCCCCTCCCACCCACCCACCCCCCAGTACAGGTTTTCTGACAAGGCAGCACATCCCTTTTGTTTGACATTAAACAACTAAGATGGTCTTCTCCAATTTATGCTGGCACTGTAATGGAACCTGTCTGTTTTGGCAGTTTGTATATCCAGCTTCGCTTTTAAGTGATTTAATGCAGCAAATGTTATAAAGCCCAGAAAAATTGTGGTTTACAATGGAAAATGTGAAAGGCCATCAAATATAATGACACTTACAGGCACGTTATAATGAATGGCAGCTATACATAGGAAAGAGAGAACCCCAACAAGATGTGCGATTAACAGCCTTTCATAGAGGTGGCTGGAGATAGTGCTGTGGCTCTCTGTAAAGTGTCTGCTACTTATGTTGTTAAAGCCTTGGGGAATGCAAGATTAGCAGAGAAAAGTTAACATTTATTTAACATGGGTGTATTACTTCTCACAGTAGGTTTGAAGAGGGCCAATTCTTGGAAGAGAGTATTAGTTCTAAAGACCTATAGGAAGCATAATATAGAACAATTAATCAGTGGAACGACTTGCCTCCAGAAGTTGTGGGTGCTCCAACACTGGAGGTTTTTAAAAAGAGATTAGACCACCATTTGTGTGAAATGGTATAAGGTTTCCTGCTTGAGCAGGAGGTTGGAGAAGAAGACCTCCAAGGTCCCTTCCAACTCTGTTATTCTGTTAGAAGAAATGTATCACTGCTCTTGGCCAGAATACAAGAGAAGATAGAACTTATTCAACATGAAGGATCTCTCAGAGAAGAGGCCTCCTCAGTGGTACTGCCTCATGGAATTCCATTCCCATTCATATTTAGATTTAACTTGTGTTTTTTTTTCTTTAGATGTGATACCAGATTTGAGCTGTAGAAATTTGGAAGCTACCAGATGATGGCAGAGAAAACTTTAGCCCTTTGCTCTAGTGGTTATCTGAATTTTTGCAGCCCAAATCTGATAAGCCTACATTAGGTATCAAGCAAATATTTCCCAGTCTTTAAATGTCTTGGATTCCACTTCCATCTTTTCCCACCTCCCAGTATTGCCAGCTAAAATGGTAACTATAATGATAAGAAATGAAGTCCAACAAATATAACCTATTCTCTTATATCACTGGTCTACAAATGTTGGGAAATTATTGACCTCTGAGATATAATGTGTTAATTCTTACATATTTTGATTAGATGGATTAGAAAACAGGTGGTAAAGGTGCTGGTTGGTTAAAGGTTTCAAGACATTTCACAATAAAGGTTTATATACAGGCGAGTATATTTGCCTACAAGGGAGGGAGGTGTCTAATGATCATGATGTCTCATAATTTCTTGACAAAGCATGGTAGAACAATGAAAATGGTACCACATAGAAATGTATAAAATTATCTTCATTTTGAGACTAAATATTATTATCTAACTGTAATTTATTGTTCTTTTATTACAAGGCACATTTGTCTTGGTTAGATCTATGTATCATATAGTTACATCTGGTGGCTTGTAAAAGTGTCATTGCCTAACATTTCCAAGGAGCAGTTGCGTGATATTTTCCCTCAGAAGCCAAGATGTCTCAAAATTGTGTAAATAATGCAGATATCTTCTACTACAGTTGTGGTGAAGTTATATTTGCATCTCAAAAGTGCAGTGTGACAGCAGTGATAAAAAAAAAAAGGCATACCACCTATATTTTGGATGCAAAATAGGGGATCAGGACAAGGGTTGGGCCCCTCATTATTGTTGCATTACACGTGCAACTTATCTGCATCATTGGCTAAACAAGCAGAAAAAATCCATGCCTTTCACAGTCCCAATGGTGTGGGGGGAACCCACCAATCATAGTAGCAATTGCTATTTTTGCATGGTTCCCCTAATTGCAAAAAGGATCTCAAGAAAGAATAAGCGGACCACGGAATATCCAAACATTCCATCTGCACTGCGTCCTGTACCCCATGGTGTACCCAGATCCACCAGAATCCTATCTCTAGACTCAGATGATGAGAAAGACAATGAGCAGGATGCAGCTGATCCAGAGCCGTCTAATGTCAGCAGACTCAAACTTTAGCCCACTGTGTGCTCCTCCTGAACCGCATCTAGTTTCACAGAGTGAACTAAATGACCTGGTCAGGGATTTGGAATTGCCTAAGAGTAAGGCAGAACTACTAGGCTCCAGATTACAACAGTGGAACCTTTTGCAGAGTAAAAAAGTATAAAAATGTTACATGAAAAACCAATAAATGGAAAGTTATGTTATTGGTATCAATGAAAAGATGAATTTATAATGATTGGTGTGGCATCATTCTCATTGCTACATCACATTTTGTAGAAAAGTTATAGAGTGTAATCCCACAACCTCCCTCATAATTTTGAATTATTTTGATGCAATTTTGACCTGAAGCTGTATCTTGGAAACTGGAGCCAATTAATACTCGGGACTTATTTTTCCTTTATTAGTTACCCAATTCTGGTAAAATTTAGTTACTTTCATGTCTGAGGCTTTCTCCTCGTAGACCACTGGTTTTATCTGTTAGATTTTATCTGTTAGATACAGCTGCAGTTTGTATTCCTGTTTTTAATTGCTTAGTTTATAGTATAATCTCAGAAGTATCTTAAATATAAATCCCACTGACTGCAACTAGGCTTGTGCCCAGGCCAACGGAGATTGCATAAGATTGTGCAATTTTTAAAATTAAAAATAATAAAAATGACTAAGAAAACTGGAAGGCAAAAAATTGCCTTAAAGTGCTTTAGCATTTACAGACTTCCTTCTGAAGCAACCCATGCCAATCTGACCTTCACCTTTTTGGTTTGTTTTCTAGTGGAATGGAGCTGTTCCGAAGACTTTTCTCCTTTGGCTGGAGAAATCATAATGGAAAATCTTCAGTCTTTGAGATGCACTATTACCGGCCTCACAATGGTAAATGAAAAGTTGTTAATTCAGGTTGCCCTTTTTTTTCTCAAATGCTAGCAGAAATCTCTAATGGAGAGAAGCAGCTTTGTGCCATTTCTCTGGCAAGTTGTTAAACACATTTTGCTTGGCATCCAGCATCCCCAAATCACCAAAGAGTAGGAAAGCCCCATCACTTTTTGTATGAGTTTGCTATATTAGCCGGGAGAGATCAGAAAAGAGTGGATTGAAAGCCGGCCATGCCATGGATCAGGGGGCTAATCTTAGGGCAGATCAAAGGCTTTGAGAGATTCAATTCTGACTCCATGTCTGATGGCTAAAATAACAATTCTGTCTTCACTGCTTCGTTGGGGAAACAAAAGTCACTAGATGGACTAACTTAAAAGGGGAGAAGTATGTTTTTATAAAGATTAAAAGTGGATGGAAGATGGGCAATCAGATGATCTCTCGACAGACAATCGGGTGAGAGTGAACACATTTACCTCCACGTTGGTCCTTCATAAACAGCTGAGTGTGGATTTGGTTGGTAGTAAAAAAAAAAAAAAAAGCAAATAGAACAGCATCATTATCAGCAGCAGAAATGAATTTACCAGAAAATAAATCAAGTACATTCTCCACTTACAAAGTGGCTAAATAAACAAATGTTTATAATCTCCAAGCCTATAATGTTTACAATACTTCCAATCAGGATAACATTTAGTTCATAATGCGTTTATACTATTGCACATCCCAGAGAGTCAGAATCAGGACAGGAACATTATTGATTTTAAAACTGCTTACGAACTAAGAATTTGGACTATATTGTTGCTGCCTGTATTAAATTTTATTATGATATTAACATTCCAAGTTTGAATCTCTTATTTTTAAGATGTTTTCAAAATTGGATTTGTGCCAAGTAAGTAATTACTTAGGGCCATATCTGTGAGAAAGGTTTTCACCTTCAAACCAGCAGTTGGGCAGCTGCAATACTGACCTCTTTGAATACTCGAATACTCCTCTCCAGATTATTTAGTAACCCAGTCAATGATTTGGATGAGGGGATAGAGGGAGAACGCACCAAATTTGCAGATGACACCAAGCTGGCAGGAATAGCCAACACTCCAGAAGACAGGCTTAAGATACAGAAGGATCTTGACAGACTTCATCATTGGGCGCTATTTAACAAAATGAAATTCAATGGTGAAAAAAGTAAGGTTCTACATTTAGGCAAGAAAAACCAAATGCACAGTTATAGTATATAGGTGGTACCTCGCTCAGTAGTAGTAATTGTGAGATGGATCTCAGAGTCCTAGTGGACAATCACTTAAATATGAGCAAGCAGTGTGCTGCAGCTGCCAAAAAAGCCAACACAGTGCTAGGCTGCATTAACAGAGGGATAGAATCAAGATCATGTGAAGTATTAATATCACTTTATAACATATTGGTAAGACCACCCTTGGAATATTGCATCCAGTTTTGGTCATCACGGTGTAAAAAAGATGTTGAGACTCTAGAAAGAATACAGAGAAGAGCAACAAAGATGATTAGGAGACTGGAGGCTAAAACATATAAAGAATGGTTGCTGGAATGGGGTATGTCTAGTTTAATGAAGAGAAGGACGAGGGGCAGTTGTCGGATTCAAATATATGTGAACAACCGGTTCTCTGCATGGATGCTGCTTCCAAAAGTCCATTCTGGGCCTGGGCACCAAAAAATAGCTACTGGTTCTGCAGAACCGGTGCGAACTGAGTGAATCCCACCACCGACGAGGGGTGACATGATAGCAGTCTTCCAATATTTCAGGGGTTGCCATAAGGAGGAGGGAGTCAAGCTATTCTCCAAAGCACCTGAAGGCAGGACAAAAAGCAATGGATGGAAACTAATCAAGGGCAGAAGCAACCTAGAACTAAGGAGACATTTCCTGACAGTTAGACATTTCCAGTTAGTTAATCACTGGAATAATCTGCCTCCAGAAGTTGTGAATGCTCTAACACTAGAAGTTTTTAAGAAGAGGCTGACAACCATGTGTCTGAAATGGTATATCAGGTTTCCTACCTGAGCATGGGGTTGGAGTAGAAGACCTCCAAGGTCCCTTCCAACTCTATTATTATTAATATTATTAAATCATAGAGCTTTTTCCTTAGGCCTTAGAGATAACATGAATGTTTGTGAGAGGAGTGTGGTGAAGCAGTACCCAAGATGAGTGTTAAAACTGTGAAGGTTCAATCGTTTATATCTCCAAAGTGAAGTGCATTGGCAGTTGAGCTTTCAATACACCCTCTTTGGTTCCAGATCTCTGAGGGTCTCCTTCTGACAGGCAGAGATACCAGAAAAATCTCATCATATCCTGGTGCTGATTAAGGACAGATGAAAGGAAACTCTAGTTAAAACAAAGCTTGGCAGATGATCATCATTCCTCCAAGAAATGTCTATTTTTCTTTTGAAAATTTAAAAGGTGGTTAGGGATCTAGGCCTTTGTTTTTCTTTTAGCAGCAGAAACACCCCCACCTTGTCATAGCAGTCTGGAGTTTTTCACAGAGGCTGCTTCTCCTTTGCAGGACTTCCTGGACTGACTATTTTGTTGTTAAAAGAAAGAGAAAGCACAAAGCCCCAGCCACCCTGTACATTTTCAAAAGTAAGTCCAATATTTCCCTGTCTGTAAATGGACCTTGGATGGGTTGATTCATTCATTCATTCATTTAAAGCAGCTGGAATATGACATCACTCCTGCATAAACAAGATTGGATGTATTCAAAAGTATACATCCCTGGTTTGGATATGAGCCTTGGGGGTTTATGATGCTACCCTCTAAATAAAGGGAGAAATGGCATTCCCTAATTGTCCTCTTGGCTTAGATTAAAATATCAACCAGGAAAAATTTCAAGATTTACTTATACATTTCTCAGTTTCCAAAATATTTTCCCTCTTCAGCTGATCTATTGATGTGCCGAATACCCAGCAGTTAAGTATTTAAACAAAGAAAGAACAGTTGATGAGAGGGGTTGGTTTGGGGATGAAAGAAATTTTGACAGGGATAAAGAGCAAGGTGGGTTAATTTCAATTTTTTCTTGACTAATTAGGGAAAAAAAGAGATATTTGTGATTCTGGAGGATATACTCCAAATCACTACCAAACTTATACATTTTAAGTGGAATAAGAATGGAAGTAAATGCTAATAATTTTTTCAATTTACACTTCCCCAAACTTATTACTCCCTACATACTGAAAAACTTTTTTAAAAAAATTTTGTGTTATGTATCATAAGTCCCAAAATGGAAAGATTGAGGACAAGGACACCCAAAAACAAGCATAATTAAGGGGAAATTATATATATTAGGGGAAGGTACTTGCAAATGTGTGCGCTTGTATAAGGAAAAAATATTCAAAAATCTCTGAAAATACAAACATTTTTTGCTGATTTTGTAAACTAATTAAAAAAAATACAGAAACAAACTTGTGAAAGGGAAGGTGCAAAACTGAACAACAGTTAAAATTGAGGTGGGTAATTTTTAGGGATAGATGAATGTTCTGGCCCAAAGTACATTATATGAAATGCATTTTGCACCTAATGTGTCCCTAGATGAGAAGCCAATATTTAGCACAATCAGAGCAGACAGAAGTGAGATTTTAATATTTTCTTTTGCTACTGTGGTTTACAGACTAAGCTCTCTTTGAAAATTATATTTGCCGTAGAAGATGCCCACAGATCATTTTCCCCCCAAAGCCAGTATTGTACTATTTCCCTCATTTTCCTCAGTAACAGAGCAGAGAAGACAAAGGTTTAAATGTCTTCTCCACAACTACTTAGAACTCATGTATTTTTGAATTGTCCAGTAAGAAGCAAAGGAGGCTGAAACTAGTAAGAGCAGAGAAAAAAAAAGAAAGCATTCTCTCTGCCTTTTCTCAGGTTTTGATTCTTGCATGATCCTCCTCCTCCTCCTCCTCCTCCTCCTCCTTCTCCTCCTCCTCCTTCTTTTTCTTCTCTTTCTTCTCCTCCTCAGATTGTCCTCGGCCTCATTTGCCACCATGCTGGGTAATCCAGTGGTGGGATTCAAATATGTGAACAACCAGTTCTCTTTGTGGATGCCACTTCCAGAAGTCCATTCTGGGCCTGGGCAACAAAAAATTAGCTACCGGTTCTGTCGAACTGGTGCGAACTGGCTGAATCCCACCACTGAGGTAATCCCAATTGGAGTGGATATCTGCCCGATATCAAGGCACTCCTGTCTGACATGAAATTGTCTTAGATAACAACCACAAGATGCCTCAAATGCTGTTTGTTCTGCTGAATTACAGGAGTTGAAGCTCTGGCCAAATTGGCATATCCTAATATAAATAGCTTGGGGGAGGGGAAGGGAATGTGTTTTCATCACTACGTTCACCTTTGCCACTGCATAACTTTGTGACTTCAGAAAATGTACCTTGGCCATGTATATAAACTTGAAGTTTTGTCTTTTATTTTTCATTTACAGGGCCACAGGTATTATGTCCAAGTGTACGCCCATAACATGAAAGGCTGGGGACAGCCTCAGACTTCCTCACCTTGCTGTGCTTCTCCTTCTAGTAGGTTAAGATGCTTTTGGTGTTGATGTTACACTTATATGACCAGTGCTTGTTCTCTCTCTCTCTCTCTCTCTCTCTCTCTCTCTCTCTCTCTCTCTTTCTTTCTCTCTTTCTTTCTTTCTTTCTTTCTCTCTTTCTCTCTCTTTCTCACTCACTCTCTAGCTGTTAAAAAAAAATCACCTTGTAAAAAAATTAATAAAACGATGCTATTAGCAAGAGACATGTTTAAAAGTGGCTACTCTCTCTCTCCCTATTTCTATCTCTCTGTCTCTCTGTGTGTATCTCTCTCTGTGTGTGTCTCTCTCTGTCTCTGTCTGTCTATCTCTCTCTCGCTCTCTCTTTCCCCTTCCTTTTCCCCAAATTAAGAGAAGAGGTTAGACAAAGAAGCAAGAGGGAAGGGAAATGAATGAATATACATGTCTGGAAGTTGAATCATAGCAACTGGACTTCTTTTCTTTTTTGGCCTGAAACGTCTCGCTGCTTATCCAAGTAACCAGTTGCCATGACTCAACTTCCAGACAACTCAACCTAGATGACTGAGAACTTTCATCGACAAATGTATGCACATGTGAACACTGATTTCCTTGGCTGTAGGGAGAAAGGATTAAACAAAAGGCATTCAGAAAATGGACAGGTTGGACAAAAATGGCTTATGCTGTCAGCCGATTTGGTTTATTATGTTTGGCTCCTCTAGGACAGATAAGAAAAACCTGTTTACCTGCCTGGTTAGCCCCTTCATTCCTCCACTTTCAATAAGCAACTGTCTCAAACAAAAAAAACCTTCCCGTTTAAATTCCCTATTTGCTGAACCTAGAAGAATAATTATCAGTTTCAAAATAAACTGAAATTTTAAACCAATTCAGAACTTTCAGTTAATATCCCGAGTTCTTCAGAAACTGGTGATCACATTTGGTAGTTGAGAGAAACAAACATAATATTGGTATTAGAAGATTTTTCTCATTTCATTATGGCCTGTGCAAAAGGTGATGCAAAGGGATTGCAGGACAAAGCAGAAGAATTGTTTTCGCTCTGTTGATTCATCTGGGACAGTATTGGAAGCAAACTTGATATCGTGACAAAATGAGCTGAAGAGGTGGAGTTTTAATCCGATCCTACAATACACAGAAAAACGCATGCTCTGGTGACTTTTATGCATTACCAGTCCATTCTTTAAACAGTAATTAGGTTCTAATTGACATTTGAAGAAGAAAAAAATCAGAATATTACAAAAACGCCTAGAGATGTATTTTTGTGCGACATGTCCTTCCTTCCTTCCTGACATCCTGCTGTTTATGAACTATGATTCACTATTTAAACTGATTGGGCCCATGCTGACTTTCTTTGTTCCCACTATCTTTTATTCGGGCATTAGAATAATTTCTTATTCTGCCTGAAAGTCTACTAAATTGTAGTTGGGAACTATTGATACATAATCAATGAGAACAATTTATTTGTGTCATAAATATTCTCTCCAGCATTGCCGTTCACAGTTTCGATTCGTCTGCAACTATTTTAGTTCGGGACTTTGTAGAGTAGAATCCTGAAGTGGTTTTCTCCATTTACCATATTATTTTTCTGGTTTCACACGATTGGTAGATCGTAGTGTATTTTTCACATGTGTCGTTTATTGCTTTAGTTTACTTCTCAGTCCCCTGTGTGTCCTCCAGTAGCTTCAGTGTCCCTGCTGGTTCTTTCCTGCAGTTCAAGACTGTTTTGTTTTTTCCCATTTTTGGTTTTTGCTCAGTTGACAAGAAAATCATATTGCATAAAGGAGAGCAATACAGGTAATCCTCGACTTACAACAGTTTGTTTAGTGACTGTTCAAAGTTACAATGGTACTGAAAAAAAGTGATTTATGACCATTTTTCACACTTACGACCGTTGCAACATCCCCATCGTAACCAAAATTCAAACACTTGGAAACTGACTCATATTTATGACAGTTGCAGAGTTCCGGGGTCACGTGACCACCTTTTGTGACCTTCTGACTAGCAACGTCAATGGGGAAGCTAGATTCACTTAACAACTGTGTTACTAACCTAACAATTGCAATAGTTCACTTAACAACTATGGCAAGAAAGGTTGTAAAATGGGGCAAAATTCACTTAACAAATGTCTTGCTTAGCAGCATAAATGTTGGGCTCAATTGTAGCCATAAGTCAAGGACTACCTGTAGAAGGAGGGAAATTGTGGGAACAGTGCATCTTACTGCTAAAAGATGTGAACATCTTGCATGTTGGAACCACAAATTTTCAGAAGGATACAATGTATGTACAAATTGCAGGACGATAGATGCAGGAGCTAACTATCTACACACACACCGACACAGACACACATACAGAGAGTTGAAGGTTTATTGTTGTTGTTTGACTGGCACCAGAATCACATTGTGCAAAAACGGGAATACAGAGAATCTAGTAGCTAAGATGAAAGGACCTGAATGTCTTCTTGTATTTTATAAACAAACATCCAGTACTGTAACTGTCCAGTTTTTAGAGATGCCAGCAAAATAGAAAGTCAACAAAACCTGGTGAACTCTAGCATAGGTCAACATTCAGCAACTCTCATCCCAAAGCTTTGTGATGGGAAAATCAGCCGAAAATATGACTATCTGTAGATTACCAGCCTTTCTGAAAATCCAGCTTTCTGATTCTACAGTAAAAATGTAGGAGGCTATTTTGATTTGTGAAGATATGAGGATGCAACAGAAATGGGCATCTTTACTTGTCTTCGTAGAGAACCAGTATAGCAATCAGGACTCATTGGCCAGAAATAAATAACCCCTCGCTTATCCCTGAAACAACTAACTTATTCAGCTAACCTCTTGCTTATCATTGAAACACAAATCCTTTGTCTTTTGTTTTGCTGTGTTTAGAGTCCTTTCCCCTGTTCTGATATTCATTGACCACACTGGAATACTGAGAGCTGGGAGGTGGGACAAGACAGCCAAGCATTGTCTAACATCAGCATAGACCTCTCCATGGTGATATAAAGTAGTGAAATGTGCTGTTTCAAGAGTGGTATTCACATTTAAAATCAACCTTTAAGCTCAGAAGGAGTAGGATAATCTGGGATGTGGGATATACTGAAATCACAAAGCTGGCAATTAATGTCTGACACTTTTTATAGAAATATTGTAACATTGATTTCTGTATAATTTTTTTAAAAAAACTAACAAAGCTTAAGAAAGATTCAGATTCCGATTTTCTCTGCTTCAGGGGAATTTTGCTTTCATTCAGTTATCTTGCAGATCAAGATGATTCAAGACAGAGTTTGACCCTGTTAGTCCTGATGACATGGATCAGCTGATCCTTGCAGCTGTGATTCTGACTACCTGTGACTTAGTACATGTTTCCCCCCCTTCTCCCCCATTGGACAAGGCATATACAGTTGGGTCAGTCTGTTCAATGTTTCCTTGTAAGTGGAAGTTCATCGGTCTGCTCTGGAGAGGCAATTATCTGCCCTCTCCTCAAGAGACCATCATTTGACTCAATGGAACTGGACAATTTCTGTCTAGTCTCCAACCTTCCCTTTTTTAACAAAGTTGTTGAGAAGATGATCTGCTTGCACATCCAAAGAGCCCTGGAGGGAATGGATTATCTGGACTCTTTTCAGTCAGGATTCAGACCTGGATATAGCTTCGATTATGCTTGTTTTGTAACTTCATCTAGGCTCAGAATGGGGCTACTGCATCCTGGCCCTCCTTGACTTCTCTTTCAACATCATCAGTCATATGTCTTTCTGAACCCCAACTCCAGGGACTAGGGATGGAAGTTGCAATGGTTCCAGTTCCTTTGTTCATAGCTAATTCCAGTTGACGTCAGGTTAAGATCTAACAATACACCCTCTTCTCACTTCCAGTTGAAATGATTACTGAAAACCAGGGTATTCCATGAGTAAATCACACAACAAACAATCAGAATAGAAGCCTGCTGTGGGATCTGATGGACTTCAGAGACCAAGTTCATTAAAACACAGAAGGTATTCTTTTTTAGTGAGACTTTAACAAAAAAAAACTTCAAAAAAGCAAAATAAGGAAATAATGTACTAGGCACCAGGTAGCAAGCTTTGATATACATGCCAGATTCTGAATTTTAAGACTTAAGAGTCAATCTAACTGCATGCCAATACAGACTTCAGAGTGCAGCTGGAGAGGGAAGAGATTGATGAAGATGATACATTCCTTCTGTATTCAGCTCTTCCTGTATGGTGTTGTACTTCATGTGTAAAGCCATAGTATTTGGTCTTAAGAGAGTTGATTATTGGTAAAGCTCTTCATGTTATACAGATGCTTCTCGTTTACTGACCATTTGTTCAGCGACCATTATAATGGCACTGAATGAGTGATAGTTACAACCAGACCTTGTACTTATGGCCATTTCAGCATATCTGTGGCCATGTGATTGCTGTTTGCAACTTTCCTTGCGGGCTTCCCACAAGCAACTCAAGCAGGGGAAGCATGCAGGAAATTGGAAATCACAGTCATATAAAGATCCACACAGTCTTTGTTTAAGCTGCTGTTACTAAGCAGTGAAGTCACGTGGTTGTTGTTTTTTTAACTTACAATCCCATATGTTTTCAGTCCCAGTTAATGTCATTAAACGAGAACTACCAGTATAAGCATATAGAGAAAACTTAAAACCATCTGGAAAGCATTTGCCACAATATTCAGGGGGATCTACCCAAAGTTTGTGTTTTGCCTTTTTAACTCTTAACTTGAGCCAAGTTAACAATTCAAGGACTTTGCCTGAATTTGTTATCTATACTTTGCTTCCAAGATAGGCCTTTGCTCATTAACAGTTTGATATCAGCAAGCTAAACAGAAGTTTTGAATAAAGGTAATGCACAAAGACAGTTCTGCCTTCAACTTTTATTTTTCTGGAAAGCAAGTACGTAGGACTGGCTGATGGAACAGCAACATGGCTGAGGATTTGTCCTTTTGAACATTGGTGTTGATAGAATGGAGAGAGAGAGATTGAGCCCAGGGCTCCTGCTTTTCAGGGTTTGCAAAAGACATCTGTGAACACAGCGTGAGACATAAATATGATGATACCCAATATGATGACATTGCCTCTGCCATCCAGGGGGATGCTGTTGAGGTTCTACTCCAGTGCCTGGAGGCTGTAGAGGTCTGAATGGGGAAGAATAAATTTTAGCTCAATCCTGTCAAAAGAGAGCAACTGTGAGTTTTGAACCCTTCCCCACGCAGATTTGGGAACTTTCTATCTCTGGCTTTGAGCAAGGTTCACCCAAAGTTTGCATGTAGCTGGGTCCTCCTGGATTCATGGTTCCTGATGAAGACCATGGCTATAAGGGCTTTTGCACAAGTTCACCTTGTGCACCTATTGCTTCCATGTTTGGACTGAGAGGCCCTACTTATGGTAATTCATGTCTTACTTCCCTCACAATTGGTTTACTCTAATATGCCATATATAGGGCTTATCTTAAAGAGCCTCTGGAAGTTGCAACTGGTCCAGAATGCATGGCATGGGCAGTTTGTGGCATTTCATAACACTTCGACATAAAACCTATGCTGTGTGCATTGCATTGGCTTCCTGTCAGCATCTAGATGCAATACAAAGTGTTTGTTATCACCAATAAGTCTGGTGGGCCCTCACCAATAAATAGCACAGAGGGCCAGCTTATTTGTGGAGCCATTATGTTGATTGTCTCTGCTTGTGCCACCAACAATGGCAGGGTTGTCATTCTTCAGGTCCATTACATTACTCAGGGTAATTTTCTGTGACCCAAGAGTTGTGCCTTTCTTATCACAACTTCTGCCCTATGGCTTCCCCCCCAAAGATCCAAATGGCCCTAATGCTGTTGGCTTTATGCACAGCATTACATTTCTGGCTATTCCTCCCAGTTTTGGGGGTCAACCTCCTGACCCCAAAGACGGGAAGAACAGCTAGATTGAATGAGCCCTATTGGTTAATTTGTTTAGTTTTGATCTCAGAATTAGAAATAGGATTATTTATAGAGCTCACACATATGTTATGTCACTTGGTTTGGAGTATTATCTTTAATATTATGCTGCTCATTTGGGTTTTAACCCTCTATTTGCTGCCTTGACGGAAACTATAAATTCTTCAGATAAATAAACAAGCAAGCTCAGGCTTCAGAGGAATCAAAAATGTACTGCTACTACTATATAAGCTTTTCTGGACTGGAAAGATTACACTATTGGAATAAAGAGCATGATGTATTAACCATAGTTGGCAGGGTACATGCCATTCAAGTGGGTGTAGAGAAAAATGTTAATATTGATATCAAGAGACAGTGATTTTTTTTGTAATAAAGATTTTAAGCATGCAATATAATATATGAAAACCACAACTATTCACAGATCAGTGTTGATGGGAAAACAAATAGATTGTCGCTGCTATGTTAATTAACATGTCATGAACACTTAACCTTATTACACTTCACTTGATCTATTAATATATACAAATTCTCTAATGATTTTATATCCTCTGACAAATGTTCTGATACAAATAAAATGAATGTTCTGATACAGATGCACAAATCAGCCAAATAAAACTTATTAAGTGAGGCCAACTCAAAGAAAATGGGTCTACTTGGTTTATAAATTATTGCTTGCAAGAGTTATATTTCAATTTTTCCACTGATTTGAAAGGTTTTATTTGGCTTCAGTTGTTGGTGTGTATGCAGCCATTATATTACAAAAAGGTGGTTACCCTGAATGTATCTAGCCCCTTAGATGAACCGTTTTGCAACTGGAGCTTGGAAATAGTTGTTTGCCAAAGGGTGATGGATTCTGCTCTCACCTATCAAATCCTTCCCAACCTCCCAAGATGTTGTTTGATGGGTGTTAAAAGTATTGTCACATATTATTATTATTATTATTATTATTATTATTATTATTATTATTATTATTATTATTATTATTATTATTGTTGTTGTTGTTGTTGTTGTTGTTGTTGTTGTTGTTGTTGTTGTTGTTATCCTTTCTGACATGATTTTTTGGTTTCCCAGTGCACTTAAAAGTTATGTTTACAATATGGTAACCTATTAAATGTGCAATAGCATTATAGCTAAACAGCAATGTACATACTTTAATTAAAAAATACTTTATTGCTAAAAAAAAAATGTTAATTATCATCTGAACCTGCAGCGAGTTGTAATCTCTTTGCTGGTGGAAGGTCTTGTAAAAATTGCAATATCTGCAAAGCAAAATAAAACCAAATGCAATAAAGCGAGGTATATGCCTGTGCATACCTTGTTCTGAAGAGGAGCATTTTGAGGGAACCCAGATGACTGGACTAGTTATAATTTCAACAACAGATTGCAATCCTCTAACTCACGTGATATTTATAAGTCATTTCCCAATTTCTCCAAAAATATTACCTGAGCGACAAGTCTTATAAAAGATTGTTCTTTTTAATATTTGGTATGTTTCTTAATTAAATTACTATGTCACTTTTTCACCGGGAGCTCGATACAGCCTACTTAACATTCCCTTCAGCCAATTCATCTTTAAAACAACCATGAGAAACCGTTCTGGCTAAGATTGGGATAAATAGTTTCTTCTAAATTAGGAGCTGCCACTTGGCCTCTGGACCTGTTGATTGGCCAGAAAAGGCCCAGCATCATCATAATGATGTCATCAAAAAGGGAAGGGTGAAAAGACTGGGTCGGTCTGGGGTTGGGCTACGAGGCCAAGAGTATGAGAATGGAAGTGTTTCTTGCAAAGACTTCTGCTCTTTCTCCTAAAATCTCCCTCAAACGTCAAAACGAAGTAGAAATTGCACTACTAAAATTGGTCATTTTCTCACTGCATTCCAACAGTGTAATCTTGGGGTGATTCAGAGGCCACAAATGAGATGGGATGTTGTTGGATTGCTCACCTCTTGGCAAGGAGGTTGGTCCAAAGTCACTCTGAAGACTCCCAGAGCTGAATGTGTGAATTTGAATCCAGCCTCCCCAGTTCTAGTTCAACACCTTAAACTAGCGTACATGAGATGGGCTTTATCCTTGGCAGCTTATTTTTGCCTTCTAGCCATGGCAGAGAAAAAGAGGATTATCTAAAACAACTCACTCCCTTCACGACCGGGTAGAAAAATGTTAGGGGAATTTCCCCATTCTCAGCTCATGCTGTAGTGATCCCCCCCCCCCCAATATAATTCCAAAAACCTCTCTTCCTTAGAGAGAGAATTTCTTTGAACTTAGCAAGGGATAGTAAAGCAAGCTGGCCGGTAGCCATTTGCATTTTACACCCAGGGCCTGATCAAGGGCAAACATTAAAATCAGGGGCCCCGGGCCCTGGGCTCTAGTTCTCTCGGCAGCCAGCAGACAGGGGAGCAGGGCCACCGCTCTCCCCTTTGCTCGACGTTCATCCCGTTTGTTTCTTTTGTTTACCAGACTGGAAAGACTGTGATGGCAGAGAGCCTAAGCACCGGGGGCAGATTGAAGCCCTGGAACGTTTGCTGCAGCAGGTTAGAGCGTCTCGACCGAGCTACAGTTGCCGAGGTAAGAGTGAAATATCCATCGGGAAGGGCACCAGGCGAGGCCTCCGTGGCGTCTGTAATTTTAGCAGCCTTCTATCTGGGTTATACCTTCCCACTCATCTGGAAAGGAGAGATATTAATATTGGCCCATCTGGAATCACTTTAGCAGACTATCTCGCTCTGGCTTCCCCCAAGTGGCAACATAGCAAACATTTGAAAACAAGCTTTCGCCAAAGTACTCTCCTCCCTCCTTCTCTAACCCACCCAGCCCCACCTCGTCGCACCCCCTTTTGCTTTCTCTCTCTCTCTTTCTCTCCCAGTCCCATAAATGAAAAGCATTTAAAATGTCGAAATCCTTCCTTGCTAGTTTGCAAGAAGGGGTAACAGAAAATGTTGGAAATGATGCTTTGCTTTAAGCCATCTCCTGGACAAATGAGAAAATCGCTGTATTCTGCAAATTCAATAAAATCTGCGGTTTTACCAAACTCCTACAATCTGCAAGAAAAAGGCAGCCCAACTGGATCACAAATAAAATGGCTTTCCCATGTTGCTGCATATTCCAACCCTCCTCCTCTCAATCATGGGAAGGAGCTTCCAAAGCCATGACTTTAATTTCACTCAGTCCTTCTAATGAGTGTGCCATTTATGCTGAATGTTCTTGTGAATCATTAAGCACCAAGATTCATAATCTACACCAGGATTCCTCAACCCTGATGTAGATTAAGATGTGTGAACTTCAACTCCAAGAATTCTGCAGGCTACCTGGAGAATTCTGGGAGTTCAATCCACACATCTTAGAGTTGCCCAGGTTGAGTGACACTGATCTACACACACAAGCTAACAGGAATTAGTGGGATACAAATACTTCATGGGACTTCTATCCTCAAAAATCCTAGACATTCAAATACCTACGTTGCTAGGACAGTTTTCAGGAAAGGAATAGATAGGGACTATGCGAACGTTTACAAAAATGGGTGAGATGGGAAAGGAACGCCTTTCACATTGGTTGAAACTTTTCAAAGTTTAATCTGTTTATAGTAGCAGTAGGCCTTTTGCAAAAAAAAAAAGTTTCTTCACTTCTCCAGCAGTCTGGAGCTGACCACATGACCACACAGTATTGCTGCTGTATGTCATGGAAGTAACAGATGGAAAGTTATCACAGAGAGAAGCAATCTAGAACTAAGGAAAAAATTCCTGACAGTGAGAATAATTGATCAGTGGAACGGATTGCTTTCAGAAGTTGTGGATGCTTTGGAGGTTTTTAAGAAGAGATAGGACAGTCATTTGTTCAGAATGGTATAGAGCAGGCAAGGGCAACCTTGGCTCTTTTATGACTCGTGGACTTCAACTCCCAGAATTCCTGAGCCAGCATGGCTCAGCTTGGAAACCTCTCCCTTTCCCCTCAGCATGGCTGGCTCAGGAATTCTGGGAGTTGAAGCCCACGGGTCATAAAAGAGCCAAGGTTGCCTACCCCTGGTATAGAGTCTTCTCCTTGAGCAAGGAGGTTGGACTAGAAGGCCTCCAAGGTCCCTTCCAACTGTGTTATTCTATATTCTCTAAATAGGGGGTTACCTCTAGAGAATCAGCACAATGCAGCTTGTCAAAATGATGTCAGCCCTTCAGGGTAGACCAGATCAAGAAACATTGGAAGAATTGAATTATACCTTAGCAAAGATAGGATGCAGGAGCAGAATTTTGCAAGCCTCCTTGTGCTTCCCCCCACCCTTAAATCCCAATAAAATCAGAAAAGGGCCTGCTTGAGTCCCTTCCAAATACTATCTTGTTTCCCACTGTGCTACTTTTCTGTTCCATCTGTTCTGTTCAAATAGGCTACTCCTATTTCTCTGCCTAATCAATGGTCTGATCAATGAAACAGTTTTGTAGATGCTGCCTCCTAGAGCTTATTTGGATTATTACCAATTGGAAACTGAGCAACCTCAACATGAATTGTTCCTCTGCATCGTCATAATCTGCAGGTGAATCGAAATTCTTGGAGTTTATTGACGCACTGTAAGGACAAAATAAATTCCAAGGCTAAAGTCACAGGGTGAAGACTTGACTCTTTTGTATGCTGCTACGCAACAGTTCCGACTTCAGATCAAAAGTCTGATGTTCCCATTTTTGTAACTATGGTAACATCCATGCGAGAAGAACATGCCTTTTGAAAAGGACTAGCAACATTGCCTGAATAAGTGGGTTATTATCATCATCATCCTGTCATCAATAAACAAAATTATTTTTGCTATCTTAGCAGAAAAGTGCAGTATAAATTGACTAAATATTAAATAATAACGAGGAGAAAATGGTCTGGATAATACATTTGGAATGTGGAACAGTACAGGTCATTCTTGTTTAATGACCAATTGTGTTATGACTGTTCAAAGTTACGATGGCGACAGAATGGGTGCTTTAGATCATAAAGATGGGCTATCATACGTGGTTGTGTCCCCCCCCACGGGCACATGACCATGGGTTGGGCAGGTTAGCTTTACTGCTTATCACTGATTTGTGTGGTCATCTGTCTGTGATTCACGATGAGGGTTTTTTTTGCTGATTCCCAGCATTTTCTGCCAGTTTCTGGCAAAAAACATATTCTGGTGAGAGAGAGAAGTTCCTTGAGGATGGGCTCCAACATGATTCCAAATGCTCGGTGACTGACCCAGATTGATTTCTGCAAAAAACACCCAGTTAAATTAATGGTTTTGCTTAATGGTTGCTGCCTTCACTTAATGGTCACATTGTTCACTTAACAACAACAACAATAAAGTTGGAAGGGACCTTGGAGGTCTTCTAGTCCAACTCCCTGCTCAGGTAGGAAACCCCATACCATTTCAGACAAATGGCTGTCCAGTCTCTTCCTTAAAACATCCAGTGTTGGAACATTCACCGCTTCTGGAGGCAGGTTGTTCCACTGATTAATTGTTCTGACTATCAGGAAGTTTCTCCTTAGTTCTAGGTTGTTTCTCTCTTTGGTTAGTTTCCATCCATTGCTTCTTGTCCTGTCTTCAGGTGCTTTGGAGAATAGCCTGACTCCCTCTTCTTTGTGGAAGCCCCTGAGATATTGGAACACTGCTATTGTGTCCCCCCTCGTCCTTCTCTTCGTTAAACTAGACATATCCAGTTCCAGCAACCGTCCTTATATCTTTTAACCTCCAGTCCCCGGTCATCTTTGTTGCTCTTCTCTGTACTCTTTCTAGAGTCTCAACATCTTTTTTACATCGTGGTGACCCAAACTGGATGCAGTATTCCAAGTGTGGCCTTACCAAGGCAGTGTAAAGTGGTATTAACACTTCACGTGATCTTGATTCTATCCCTCTGTTAATGCAGCTTAGCACTGTGTTGGCTTTTTTGGCAGCTGCAGCATACTGCAGGCTAATATTTAAGTGATTGTCCACTAGGACTCCGAGGTCCCTCTCACAGTTACTACTATTGAGCAAGGTACCACCTATACTATACCTGTGCATTTGATTTTTCTTGCCTAAATGTAGAACCGTACTTTTTTCACCATTGAATTTCATTTTGTTAGATAGCGCCCAATGTTCAAGTCTGTCAAGATCCTTCTGTATCTTAAGCCTATCTTCTGGAGTGTTGGCTATTCCTGCCAGCTTGGTGTCATCTGCAAATTTGATGAGTTTCCCATCTATCCCCTTGTCCAAATCATTGATGAAGATGTTGAAGAGCACTGGGCCCAGAACAGAGCCCTTAATGATAAAATTAAGAGCATTTAAGAGCACAGTGCACTTAATGATAAAAAAAAGCCAGAAATTTACTTCTAGTCTTGTGGGTGCCTCGACTTACAAGTGTAATTCCAGGCTTAAGTTGTGGGTTCCCTGTAGCTCCTATAGGTGGATATATGTGGGATTATATAGAGACAGAGCCTGATTTCTGGAAGAAAATATAACATCTTGAAGAAGTGATATTTCTCACACACAACACACACAAACAGACACACACACATATTAAACTAACAGTAGCAATGTTTGAGGGAGTAATACCCAATATAACGGTCCTTGGTTATCGGCCATCTGTTCATTGATCATTCAAAGTTGCGACAGCACTGAATGAATAGTACTTACAACCAGTCCTCAAACATCTGGATGTTACAACGTTCCCACGGTTACATTTTCACAATTCAGGTGCTTGGCAACCGACTCGCACTTACAATTGCATGGTTGCAGCATCTTCCCATGACATCATTTATAATCTTCCCTGCTGGTTTCCCACAAAGTCAATGGGGAAGTCAGCAGGGAAATTTTCAAGTTGCTTTGGTGTGTCCCTTCGGCCTTCCTGTACTTGCACTGTGCCACACCATCCATTCCTGTCCTTCCTACACTTGTACCACACCATCCACACAACCTGGCCTTCCTGTGGTCACACACAGCCTGCACAGCCTTACTCTAGCCTCACTCCACTCATGCTTAGCCTGTGCCAGCCTTGTCCAGCTTTTTCCAGCCTCTGCAGAACTTCCCTGGCAACCCTACACTCCTTACCTTGGGACTCCTACCACTTCCCAATTAATGACCCATGCATGCTGGGGTTAACAATGTCAACTGGGACTGCTGGAATTGTCATCATTAAGTGATGCAGTGATATGTCATTGCATATATGCCATTGTTAACCAATCATATTGCTTAAGGATGGCAGTCCCGGTCCCAGTTGAAACCTGAGATCTACTATCTGCAGTTTTTATTTCCAGGATAACCCTGGGATGCCACTTGAAAAGGGCAATGCATGAATTGCCTAAGGAAGCTTCAAAGATCTTGTAGTGTACGGCAAACTATTTTTTAAAAAGCCACTTAACCTTTTCCTTCCGAGAGTAAAATAAGTGTTCCAGATAGAAATGGAAATCTTAGACCAGCTTCTTCACAAGCAGAGAGTGGGGCTCCCTAGGTACCTTAATATCTGTGGGATGATCAAAGATGACAGCAGCCCTAGCAGCCCCTCCCAAAGGAGCCCTCCAGGCTAATTTTTAATAGGACAAAAGGAGGACATTAAATACATGGAAAACACAATAAGCTCTCA